TTAGGCTTTGCTGCAACCCTCCCCAAAGAAGCAACCCACAGCCCCTGAGTCCAGCCAGCCCCTCTGGCTCATCCCTGGGGATGGCTCATCCCTTGGGACGGGGAGCAAGGGAGGGGAAGCTGGGCTCCCCCCAGCCTTGCCCTCTTGGAGGGGTGGGAGAGGGCACGCAAGCCTGTCCCCCAAGAAGGACGCTCAGCGTGGGGTGATCTCCAAGCACTAGCAAGCACCCAGCGCTCGGGTCCCATCTCAGCGGCCAGGCAAGCTGGGGACGCCAGGCCGGCTGGGGAAGGGGGCTGAGCAGGATCAAGGGGGGCACGGGGTGCTGTGCCCAGCCTTGGTGCACCCACAGGGCAGGGGACAGGGCAGCGGGGATGCACCGCTGTCTGCCTGCAAAGGTGCCTGCTCACCTGCACCCTGAGCGGGGACCCTGGCCAGCAAGCAGGACCCCACGGTACCCCATGGCACCCCACGGCACCCACACCATTCCCATACCATCCTCCCCCAAGGCTGCAGGGTCAGGGGACGTGGCCATATGAGACATCAGAGAATCCACACAGGCTTCCCTGGAGAGCCTCGGTGCACACGCAGGTGTCCCCCCCTCCCAAAAGCCTTGGATTTGCCCTCAGCGCTGGATGGAGGGGAAGGAGCCGAGGAGCTGGTGGCTTCTTCTGCAGTGCTCCATTGCTACCGGCCTCATCCCTTCTCCCACGGGGCACAGGGGCAGCCTCGTTAGCCCCAGCCCTCCCACAGCCCCCCGAGGGTTGCAGCAGCTTCAATTGAAAGGGAGGGCAGAAGGATGGGGGTGTTCCAGCTTACCCCCAACCTTTTGTAATGGAGCAGCTCCACGACCCCCTCGACTGGGACAAAACCACCTCAATTCAGCTCAGCGAGCCCTTGGCTGGCCCATGGCCTTAGTTTCCCCAGAGAAGACTGTAGGGATGGGCGGCACAGCGTGGCTCTGGGACAGATCCAGCACCCCTGGGTGCTGAAGAGCAGCCCGGAGTGGCGTAAGAGCAAGGAGGAGATGCAGCCTGCAGGCAGCTCTGGCAGATAAGCAGAGGCTGCCTGCCCGGACCCGCACGCTGCCTGCCTGGACCCGAGGGTTTGGAGGAGCGGCACCACCGCAGGAGCTGATGGGAGAGAGGGAACAGGATGAACCCCAGCATCACTGGCCGCTCCTGCTCTCCCCGGCACCCCGAGGCTGATCTGGAGTGGAGGCTCCCAAGGGGCAGCCCCACAGCCTGCCCAGGCAGGATCCTGTCTGCAGCGCCGTCCCCCAGCCCGACGAACCCAGGGGAGGAGGGAGTGCTCCAGCAGATCCCACTGCGCCGAGGAAATCTGTGGTGCCTGGGCTCCCCGAGACCCCACGGGCAGCGCCACGGACAGACAGACAGACAGACACCCCCGCTCCTGGCCGTGCTTACCAAGGAGATTTATTGACTTGCACGTGGAGGATGGGGGGCACTGGCCCCAGCTCTCCCGGCAAGCGAGCAGGGAGGCAGGATGAGGCGTGGGCAGGCAGAGTCGGGCACCAGCCAGCCCCTTACCCCACAGCCAGCACAGCCGGAGGTGGCACGGGGACAGGAGGAGGCATTGCTGACACCGGGAAAGGCAGGAGGCACCCGGGCACAGGGCTCTGGTGGCACCCAGGCAAGGGGGACACAACCCCAAGGGGGGTGGCTGGGACCCAGATTTTGAGGGCACAGCCAGGACACTCAGCACAGGCATCACCATCGGGCCAGCCCTGAGCACAGCCAACATGGCATGATGCCACCTGGGCCCCTGGCATGCAGGCATTTGCTGTGCCCACCCCTTGCCCTGTTTTTAAAGCCTTGTGTCCTGCTGCTTGGCACCCCCCCATCCTGCCCCTCGCCGGGACGCTCAGCCCTCGGCGGGTAGAGGGGGCACCGATGCCAGGGCAGGTAGGAGGCGGGCATAGATGTCGATGCCCCGCAGGAAAACTTGCTCGTTGAGGAACTCGTTGTGGTCATGGAGCAGCACCGGGGTGCGGTTCATGGGCGAGAAGCCGATAGCGGGGTGTCCTGCCTGGGGATGGGGGGGTACGGGGTGAGGCCGGGGCTGGGACAGGCACCATGTGCCCCCCTCTGCCCAGGCACGGCTCCTGCTTGGGGCTGCAGGTCTCACCCCAGGTGGGGAACCCACGGGTGGGCTGGCATCGTACTCACCGCTCGGATGTAGCGGCTTTCGGTGGCGGCCGGGAAGATCTCGAGCTTGAGCTGCAGCTTCCTGACAAGCAAGACCCTGTGTCAGCATGGGCATGGGGACAGCTGGGTCCCCTATCCCCCTGCCACCCCGCGGGCAAAGAGACCACGCCAGGAAGGTCCCTGAGCCCTGCAGGACACTCAATCCCATCCCTTTTGGGGGGCACGGGGAGATGCCCTGGCATGGCATGGAGCATCTCCTCCCAACCCCTGCCATGACCCCAGAGACCCCCAGGGACCTCCTGGATCCCACCGTGTCCCCGCCAGGGTCCTGCCCTTCCTGGGGACACTACTCACATGTCCCTGCAGACCCCGCTGAAGGCTTTCCACCACGGGTCCGACTCCTCGGTGGAGGTGATGTGTTGGTCCATACATTTCTGATGGAGGGAGAGGGCAGGTGAGGAGCAGGGGGGTGGGCATGTGGCAGGGGAGGGACGGGCACGATGCGCTCGGGTAGCCGAGACCCCTCACCTGGTGAAACTCATAGGTGACGCCATCCCCAGCACCCCGGCACCATGCGGCCACCTGCTCCTCGAAGGCCTGAGGCAGAGACCAGAGGAGGGGTGTGATTGGGGTACCCCCAACCCGCTCCCTTCCTGGGTGGGGCCAGCATGACGCCCACCTTCAAGTCCACAGTGGGTGGGATGCGGACATCAAAGCTGGCCGCCATCTCAGAAGGCACCACGTTGAAGGAGACACCCCCCTCCAGCATGGTCAGGTTGAGCGAGGTGACGTCCCCTAGGGTCAGGCTTGAGTCGGACTTGAGCCTCGGGGGACACAAGGGAGAGTCACCCTCCACCACTCGGGGAGGAGGGGAAGCGCTCCCCCACCCCGCCACCACCCCCAAAAGGGGAAACTGAGGCATGGGGTGGCAGCGCCGGATTAGATCCTGGCTTGGGATCCCAAGGACCCCCTCCACAGACCAAACTGAAGCCACCGCCATCCCGCTGCCCGTCTCCTACCTCTGCTTCTCGCTCTCCCTGAAGGCCAGGAAGGAGTTGATGACTTTGTGCTGGGGAGGGAAGGGCAGGGGGGTGAGGACCAGCCCTGTGGCAGGCACCTGGCAGCCCCAGGGCAGGCAGGGGGTGTGTGCAGAGCGTACCCCCTCTCTTACCATCTTCTCGGCCGCCGTGTTGCTGATGAAGCGGGACCCATGCCCGGGGCTGCCCACGCACTTCACCTTTATCCCTGCGGCAGCCGGGGGAGAGGGAAGCGTTGAACAGAAAACCCAGGGTGGCACCAGTGCCCCAGCGCCCAGCAGAGCCAGGGACGGGGCAGTGGGCACGCAGTTACTCACACCACGGGCTCTTCTCGCCGTAAAAGACGCTGAAGGTGTCGGACGGGCTGGCCAGGCCTGCGGTGGGCACAGATGGGGGTCAGCGGGGCAGGTCAGCCCCTCTCTGTTCTGCCCTGGCAGCATTTCCTCTCCAGGCTGGCACCGTGTGGATCACTGGCCGGGGGAAGGAGCCCCCGAAGGGGTCCCCGGAAGCCGTGTTGGGTGCCAGTGCTCGGGGGGTGATGCCAACAGGCAGAGGGGTGCGTGCCAAGAGGAGACACATCCCCGTGCCAGCCCTGCCACCACTCACCCTCGTCCAGGGCAAAGCCCACGTTGAGCGCTCTGAACTCGGGGCGCTGCACGAACATCTCCATGCCTTTGTGTCCGCCCACCTCCTCATCTGTGGGGGAAGGCTTAGCGTGGAGGGAGGAACGGGGGTGTCCCCCGGCCCACCACCCCCTGGTCCTCCTTCCACGCCAGCCTGGGTGCCACCGGCGCACACGATGTCCTTGGACCTGGAAACCCTTCCATCCCCAATCTAGGGGAGCTCAAAATCTGGAGAGGCTGGCAGGGGGGTGCCCGGCTGCCAGGCCACAGGGAACTCCAGAGCATCACCCAGCTGCCAGCCCCTCCTGTCCCCCCAAGAGGGGACACCCTGGGGACTCACCAGGCACAAAGGTGAGGTGGATGGTGCGGGCAAAACACTTTCCCTCTGCCTTCAGCCTCCGGATGGCCTCGAGGTACCTGTGGGGAGAAGGCAGTGCCTGGGCATCACAGAGGAAAGGGGCTGGTGTGCCCTGAGCCACCCTGGGGGGGGTCAAGCAGTGGCACCCACAGCCCCCAGGGACCCTGGGGACGGTGGCATCCCGTGCTGCATCACTCAGAGGCACCCTCATGCTGTGCCCGCTCCCCCCGGCAGGTGCAGAGCCCTCCACTCACTGGATGGAGACACACTTCATGTCCTGGGCACCCCGGGCATAGATGTTGCCTTGCGAGTCCTTAACGGCCTCAAAGGGTGGGTAGGTCCAGTGTTCCTGTGGGGAAAAGCAGCCGTGACAGCAGAGGGGCACGGCAGGCACCAGCTCCTGTTTGCCTGCCACCCCTAGTCCTCCCTGCCACGCCCGTCCCACCCCTCGCCCTGTCCCGGCACCTCAAAGACGGGCACGACGTCGGTGTGGGAGTTGAGGAGGACGGAGCGCAGGCGGGGGTTCGTGCCCTGCCAGGTCAGGATCAGCACCACGCGGCCCTGGCACACCTGTGGGGCGAGGGCAGGATGTCACTGGGGTCCCGGCTGGGGACAGAGGGGCTGGGACCGGCAGGCTGGAGCCGAAAAGCATCAGTCTGGGAAAAGTTTCTTGATGCCACGTGGCAGGTCACCCCTTCCTCCGCTGGGAGAGGGCAGGCAGCAGGTGCAGGCATGCCTGCACCCCCCCCCAGCCAGACGGAGCCCGGCCACGGGTGCAAGCTCCTGGCTGCAATTCAGATGGAGGAGGGGAGACGAACCCAGCGTCTTCCCCCGGTGCCCGGGAGTCCCCTGGGACAGCCAGTGCCCAGCAGGAAGGACGTCCCCAGGCAACTTGACCCTGCCAGATCCCCAGCTAATCATAGCACCAGCGGCCGCAAAGGTCAGTGAGGACCAGCCTGAATATACGCTTAAGGAAGGGCTCAGGTCAGCAGAGGATTACAGGCAGAGGGGATTCACTCCTGCCCAGCTCCAGGGCAGCGGCAGGGGAAAGCCTGGTCACTAAGGACCCAGGCGCAGATGGATGGATGGATGGATGGATGGATGGATGGATGGATGGATGGATGGATGGATGGATGGATGGATGGATGGATGGATGGATGGATGGACGGATGGATGGACGGATGGAGTGGGGGCTGCTCCTCGCCACACTCACCTCCACTTTCTGGCAGGCCAAGCCCAGGTCGGTGCCAACACGCTCCAGCAGCCAGACGGAGCCCGGCCACGGGTGCAAGCTCCTGGCTGCAATTCAGATGGAGGAGGGGAGACGAACCCAGCGTCTTCCCCCGGTGCCCGGGAGTCCCCTGGGACAGCCAGTGCCCAGCAGGAAGGACGTCCCCAGGCAACTTGACCCTGCCAGATCCCCAGCTAATCATAGCACCAGCGGCCGCAAAGGTCAGTGAGGACCAGCCTGAATATACGCTTAAGGAAGGGCTCAGGTCAGCAGAGGATTACAGGCAGAGGGGATTCACTCCTGCCCAGCTCCAGGGCAGCGAAGCCTGGAAGCCTGGTCACTAAGGACCCAGGCGCAGATGGATGGATGGATGGATGGATGGATGGATGGATGGATGGACGGATGGATGGACGGATGGAGTGGGGGCTGCTCCTCGCCACACTCACCTCCACTTTCTGGCAGGCCAAGCCCAGGTCGGTGCCAACACGCTCCAGAAACCGGACAGCCGCATCTGGGGAGGAGCGGGGATGCCCGGAGTTATGTCAGGATCTCCCTCCCCTCTCACTGCAACCCCCTGGGGACCCCAAGGCTCTCTGGGGTTCCCAAGCCAAGGAAAGAGGTGACCAGAGAGGTCAGGTGATGGAGGTCCTGAGCACAAGAGGTGGCTGGGAGTGGGGACAGGAGCGGCTCGTCACCGTCCCTTTGGGGCGAGGACTAGGGGAACATGAAAAAATAAAAATTGAAAGGAGCAAGTTCAGGGGGGATGGTCCTCCGTAGGAGTTTTGGGAGCTCCTCACCAACAAAAAAAATCTTGATGTACTTTAGTGGGAAGATGGAAACATTAACGGAAGGAGATCTAAATGGGGTTATCACAAGCATCCATCCCAGAGCCAGGGCAGCGTGCAAAGGGGGGGGCCCTGGGGCACCGGGCTGGAGGAAGCAAATGGCAACTCTGGGTGCACTCGAGATGTCCCTGCCCCAACCAAAGGCGCCGGCAGAGATAAGGCACAAAGGTGTCCGCTCTTTAACACCACGACCAAAACAACCCTGGTCAAGGACTCAGGCACCCGGGTCCAAAGACCAGAGCTGCAAGGTAGAGGAGAAGGAGCCGTGTTGCACAGCTCCCTGTCCCGTCCCCCCCATCCTCACCATAGTCAGGTTTGGGGTGAACGGTGTCAATCCTCAGGTACTCCCGGAAAAGCGTAACTGAGGGGTCCTCTGAGGCCCCCGTGCTCTTCCCAGGCTTCCCGGGTGCCATGTCAGGCCTGGGACCGGGGCTGCAAAGCTCTGGGGGAAGAGTGGGGAGATGGTTAATCACCCACCGGCCCCTCCAAAGTCCGCCGGCGAGCTCGGTCGTCACAGAAACCGAAGCGGGACAGGGCAAAGGTCTCCCTGGTGCGAGTCCTGGGACGCTGCCACCACAGGAGAAGTCCCCCCACTTGGGTATGGGGGCAGGGTGGTGTGTGCCCCCCTTGCCATCCTTTCATCATCCCCCCAAAGCGCATGTTCCTGCCCCAAATACGGTGCCAGGGCATACGCGGTGCCGGGGCACGGGGGCGAGCCGTAGGGTAGGGCTAGCTGGGGAGTAGCGGGCTAGTAGGGAGGAAAGGGGGGCAACAAGGTGAGGAAGGGGGTTATGGGGGGAAGAAGGGTGTATGGGGCAGAGGCATGCGGTGGTCAGGGTTAGCCAGTGGTTGGGGGTCCAGGGGGCTGTGGGGGAGTGCAGGCAGGGAAGGCAGGATGCTGGCGTAAGGGGGTGCAGGTAAGGAAAGGGGGGCCGGCCAGGGGAAGCAGGATGATGCGGGATGCTTAGGGGCATATGGGGGTGCAGCAGGAGGGGG